CTTTCACTCCTTTGTTCACGTATGTAGTAGGCATGGTAGGAGCGCTAATTAACAACCAAGCGTGACATAAGCAAATCACGGATCTGTAGGGTCGCTGAATTATTGCCACCCACAACAAAAGGAGAATTCTTCATTGTTATCAGTGACCGCATTAACATAACGTACATATTGCTTCTAAGATGTGTAGCTGTCATTTCGTCCTTCTCCACAATTTGAAATTTGGCGTAGTGGATGGTTACCAATTTCACAACAAAGTGATAGCTTTACCGCAAATCCGCAGCAATGAATGCGATAGCAACAAATTGGAATGACACGCGAAGAATGGCAGACAGATCGAAACGTGCGCAACAATAATACAGAATAATGCAATATTGCTATCACTTGCATAATTATTGAGTGTTATTAAATGCAAACTATCTAAAGAGACAAAAAATCTTCTTAAGAGACGACCAAACATGAAAGCCTCAAATGCAACCGATAAAATAGAAAAAATAGAGCTAGCTAGCGGAGCGTTCGAATTTAACAAATAGGCGTAATGTAGCCGACATCAGGAGGATTAGCATAGAGAGAATTGAGCAGGCTGTAAAAAGTGGCAGAAGTCTAAAAGCGGCGAAGGCAAACTCGTCCATTGACAAAAATCGGGTGCATGCATTAGGCGACACGGTGGGCAATGTCATAACATTTGAATAGGATAGTTGAGGTGGCGGAGGAGTTGTACAGAGCGCTGTACAGAAGCCGAAACAACAAGAATGATATCGTAAGAAGCAAATAGCCTACATAAACTTTACATCCTACCAGTACGCACAGGGAAAGTAATAAAAGCCCCGGCAGAAATGCGGAGGCAAAGACGCTGCTAAGGATAAGGTAACAACAGAGCAGCTGAAGAATTGGGAGAAATCGTGTTATAAAAATTGACCACCTTACATACGAAGTGTGCATTGAAGGGACGAGTACCCGAATCCTGGAAGAACGCCAACATCATTGCAATACAGAAGAAAGAAGTCAAGGATTTGAAGAAATACACGCCGATCGGTTCACCATCTGTACTCTACGAACTATTTACAAATATAATCGCTAACAGAGTTAAGAGTACGTTAGAGTTCAATCCACCAAAGGAACAAGCAGAATTTCGTACACGCTACTACACAATAGACCATATTCGTACTATCAGTCAAGTGAGAGAGAAATTTGTGGAGTACAACCAATTCTTTTATACATAGCATTTACAGATTACGAGAAGGCATTTGACCGAGTTGGAACATCATCAGCCATGCGGGTACTACGGAATCAGGGAACTGACGAACTCATCAACATACTGGAAAAATTAACAGTGAAACCGCACTAGAGATAGCTATCCGTAAAAAAAAAGTGACGGAATCGCAATCAAGAAAGGTGGAAGGCAGAGAGACACGATCTCTCCAATGGTACTCACCGCGTGTTTACAGGAGGCTTTCAGGGCCCTGGATTAGGAAGAGTTAGAGATAAGAGGTAATGAAGAGTATCTTAGTACACTGAAAGTCGGTGATGACACCGCCTTGATGAGCAACTCAGGGGAAGAATTACAGTTCATGCCTACTGAACTGAATTACGGAAAGATGAAGAGTAAGTTTGAAAGTTATTAGACATAAAACTAAAGTAATCTACAACAGTCTCCGCAGAGAACATCGTAGCCGAACCATGAGAGTGGATTAAATAGAAGAGTGAGAAGGACGTGGATCACACTCGGCAAGTATTTTCTAGTCATGAATGCTAATCTGTCACTAATCCACAGAAGGATGGTATATAACAGCTGCACCTTGCCGATACCTAAACCAATCGGAGCAGACACCTGGAGGCTTCCGAAGAGGTTTCAGCTGAAGTTGAGAATAACAAAGTGAGCAATTGAAATAAAAATGATAGGCGTAACCTTACGAGACAAGCAGAGAGCAGAGTGGGTCAGGGAACAAACCGGTGTTAAGGATATGATAGTTTAAATAAAAAAGAAGAACAGGACATGGGCCGGGCATATAGTGCGTATAGGCAGGATAACCGCTGGTTACTGAGGGTTACTGATTGAATTCGCAGCGAAGGCACGAATGGGAGACAGAAAGTTTAGTGGGCCGATGAGGTAAAAAAATCATTGGTATAACGTGGCAGAAGAAAGCAGAAGACCTGGTTGATTGGTGGAATGAGGAAGAGTTCTTTGCTCTGCAGTGGGCATAGTTAGGCTGGTGATGTTATTGATGCTGATGATGACAGGGTTGTTGGACATCTATCAAAATTTCAAAACAGCGGCCTTAAAAATTTGCCTCTCTACCCTCGAAAATGAGAAATATGCTCATATTGTAACGGCAAGCCATTCATTGATGCTCTTTACATACCCATGTCTGGTGGTGGCTAATACGTCTTCAGGATAAAGTGGTTTGCATTCTACCCGCATACATTTTTCTGCAGATTCACTGATTTTGTATGAAAGCAGTCATATCATGCCATTTGAACTGCAGAATATTCCCCTCACCCCTTTCCCCAGCACAGGGTAGCCAGCCGGTCTAACAACTGTCTAACCCCCTGTCTTTCCGCTTAAACTTTCTTCCTCCTCTGTGTGAGCCACCCAAAGCTCTATAACTATTTGCCTTCTTTCTGGCCTCCTCGGTTGTCTCCTGTCCCGGAGCACTGTATTCACATTGACCCCCATCACCTTTGGCGCTGCAAGCCTTGGACTTTTTGGGCTTCTTCCTTTATTCCAATTTTTAAGCCTCATCTAGTTTTGCACTGGTTAGAGCAGTTGCTCATAAACTTTGCTTCTACTGATAGTGCTAAGTTGCAGTTCATAGTACGAATTTAGGCTGTGATATGCAATCAGCTTCCTTCTGGTATGATTGACGAGGAGCATACTATGTCGTGTCAACAACAAGGACAGACAGTAGCGCCATCTGAAATTTCAGCTTTCAGTGAAGTGCCTACCTGCGTTCATAGGTCAAGCTGCGAACTTTGCCTCTCATTACTATCATGTCAAAATTATCAAAATTATCGCTACATTGTACCTTAATGTTTTGCCCCGTAATATTTTCTTTTCCTCGTAATAATATAACCGAGTGATTACAGTGGTGAAGGAAGATTTTGCCTTAGTTGCAGTTTTCCCCAGCGTACAGCTGACAGTGACTACAGTCGAAAGTGGGGGAGGGGGGCTCACTTTCTCAACTTTTCTCAGTGGGGGAGGGAGGGCTTGCGCCCTGATTGCCCCCTTTTCCAGCTGATACGCCTATACCGACAGTCTTCGTCGCTAGAAAAAATGCATTCATGTAGCTGACCTGAAGCAGCTGTCAGAAAGTATATGTGCACTTGAGAGACTGGGCCTGGTTGCTTGTTGGAGCGCACGCTGTGTCTGTAAAGGGACAAAGAAACGGCTCATGCTATTGTGCTCTTATCAGAAATAATCCGTTGAGTACATAGCATGAATGTCAGGTCGTCCGCTACGGCGGCCACGTTCGTTAAAAGTCTGGCAGGATTAACTCGTGTACCACGTTTTTTATGCTGTTGTTAAATTCATTGCTTCACCGTTTGCTTAGCAATGAAATAATGTAGAGGCTCTGTGCTAGAGCTTAGAGTGCGGCACCTTTATCTTGGCTGCCTTTTTCCCCCATGGATAATGAGAAAATGGGTAGTCAGCTGAAGTGAGAGATGGACAGCGCTCGGGGATTCATGTGAAGGCAGAAGCGCCGAAACAGATCGAGTGCCTTATCAAAACTGAAAAAAAAACCTTAATCTGCCTTGTCGTGTTCCGCTGTTTTGTATTATTTTATTAAAGTCTGATTTGTCCTGTTCACACAACCAACATTACCGAAACCGTACCCACGCAGGCTTCATGGCTGGCGACGATTAGGACACTGCATAGGTTGCCTTCATATCTCTCCTTGAGATATTTTCAGGCAATTGCCCCATGTGATTTGCACTTTGCAGGATATATTGAACTAATGTCTTATTCTAAGCAAACCATGAGCAAGCTACCAGTAAGTCATGGCTTCAAGACTTGCACCAAGCGTTGCTATTGCTCTGAACACATCGATGCTGTGGCGAAACAGCAGAGAAGCAATTAAGCCTTATCTTACAACCAGGCACGACTTCTTTTCAGCCAGTGTTTGGTGACTTCTTTACGTCAGGCAGTCATCGCTTGCAGCCGGGATCTGTGCCCTGTTCTACAGTCGAAAATTGCCGTCGAGGCCTTGTGACATCCGACACCAGAAGTGGTTACAGAAAAACACTTTTGAACATGCGATTTCGTATATGTCGTGAGTTATCTTATGCCACATTAGAAGCAGATTTCGGTTACGTCTCCAAGCTGCAGCAAAAACGATAAAGCAGACTAAAGATCGTGGATTCAGAACATTCCAATCAGTTGTTAAGGTCACAAAAAAGCACGCTTTCTAAATGCTTAATGCATTTTATTCATTCCTAAGATGCAGCTCACACGTGGCAAGAGAGGCATCACGCGGCCACAAAGGCGGAATTTCGCTTGAATGTAGCAGAGCCTGAAAGGAGAAAAAAAAACGAAGTTGCAATTTATTTAAAATAAACAGACAGTTAAGCTACTGATCGAAGCGCCGACAAGAGTATAGGGGGTAATTTGTTATAAATGAATAGTGACTAACTGTAGTGCCTTTTGGTACAACATGGTGGAAGATGAGCTTGCTGTGGTCTTTAAGACATAACGCTACACGTACATATTGGTTTTAACTCGCGCTCTTGGTGACGAAAACAAAGTAAGCGTAAGGAATAAAAAGCAACACACGGAGCGCGTCGCCATAAGCATGTCCTGATTCACTCAGGATTGCGTCAGCCTGCGTTCAATAAAGCTCTGTAGCCCCATAAAGGACAGTCATGCCACAATTCAACGGGAGAATGTCTAAATTATCAGCACTGTCATGAGGTTCATGCCGGTTCTGGTCCCAACGTGCACTGGTTATTACACAATTATATAAGCGCTCGCCACCCCACGTTACACTGAGTGCATGTAGTAACCGTGCCTATTTTCGCGGCTTGCACCAAGCGTTCAGCAGGACAAGCTGAGCGGCATGCTTCTGGAACCTCGCCTGGCACAGCCCATTTGCCTGAAAAGAAATATGAGCATAAAATTAGGAACTCTTTTGATTTGCTTTTGGAGCATGGGCCATAGTACTGGTGCCGCACGTTGAACAATTAACATGCCGAAGCTTTAGAACCTGCATTCTTACCGCGGGCACGGTTAACATCCAATCAGCAGAAGCTGCGCTCAGAATTTACAGACGTGATAGCATTATATTCTCCGGTGCTTTCACGAGCCTTCTTGTGTGTCCTGGTAAACAACAAACGTCCTACGTCGTTTATAAATGGTCATACGCACTAAATGCACAGTACTGAGCACGCCTTTTATGAAAAAAACTGCACAGCCAAAATATTTGTACAACGAAGAAAGTAAAGTGACAGAGCACCCATTGGAGTGCACCTCAGCTTCTGTGTGGTTGCCCCTTAAGGTAACTGACAAACCAGCTCAACTCGATACCTGAGAGTAAAGCGAACAACCAGTGTGAAGCGTATACAGTAGGGCTGCCGACTGTAGGAACAATATGGCGAAAACGCAACGCCTCTTTTTTTCTGCAGTAACATGGTTTTGACTGTAGTAACATATGAATATAGAAAGAGCGAAGCAGAAACCAAGGAGGCAAAAGCAAAGTAGCGTAAAGGAAGACACAGGTCACTTGCCTGCGTAGTTGCACTTGTCGAGCTCCAGGTAGCTCCGAACCAACAAGCTCTGTGTAATAACATCCCAATGAACAGTGCTCGTGCCTTCGTTTATCCTTGCTAAAGTTTTATTATGCGCCTGTTCCGCGTATTTAAGAAACATGGACAATCGCGGGAACAAGCACCACTAAACGATACTGCTCTTCATAGAAACAATATCGAACCTTTGGCTGAGAGATTATTTTTCTAGTCATTCGCATTCTTTGAAATAGAATGGACCTGTACTCTGAGCTAAAGGTCATTTTTATAAGTACCTATCCTGCATAATCGTTATGGTGGGCATTGTCCACGAGAGTTCTTTTGCTTTTCCCACTGCCTTTTAGAGCGAAGGAGCTCAATAGAGAAAGGTATTTTCAATGTAGTTTTAGAACGGGTCAATATTCTTACCTTTCCCTCCAGTGGAAGGCACATGTGAGGGTCGTAGACTTGCGGGATGACGCAAGTGCTTGGAGTGGTTCTGAATTCCAGACGGACGCTGAAGTTTTGCAAACTCCTGTAGTTCTAAAAACAAAAAGTGCATGATATGACCCACGTCAGTAAGAGGATAAAAGGCAGCATCTGGAGCTGAAATTGGCAAAGCTAAACTGTGGCGAAGAAGGTCTTTTAGATAGGCAGCTGTGTGGTCTCCACATCGCCAACCATTTAAATGAACCTGAAAATATTTCTGATGTCGTATCTGCATTATGACTCTTAAATATCCCCTCTCTTAGCAGATACATTAGCAGAACACATTAGCAGATAAAACACACATAAAAATAACGGGACCCTAAAGCGTCGATCTGGTGAGCCAGAAGGTCCTGGCCCGAGTTTTGGTGGTTGCCAATGAGCTCCTGTAAGGAGACCTTCATCTAGCGATTGTAAGGGGAGGGACATTATGGGCCTTCACATACTTACTCCTACGGCAGCAGCTACAAAAAGGTGGTCGAAATTTCCGGAGCCCTCCACTACGGCGTCTCTCACAATCATATGGTGGTTTTAGGACGTTAAACCCCACATACCAACCAACCAGCAGCTACAAAAGTTTTCCAAGCTAGCAAGCTGTCCCCAACACCTGTCCAAACTCGCTCTGCACCCATTACGTTGCCTTAAAGAAATAGATGCAGTAGCATGCGTGGTTTCAGAAGAGGGTGGCTGGCTTGAAACTATGCAGTCATGATAAGCACATGTTATGACGCTCGACGGCAATAGGGGTTTCACCACGCATTTTCACTGCAATACTTCGTGCTGTATTGTAAAGCATATATAGAGGACCCATGTGGTTGTAAAGCGTAAAAATCACATTTATTGAATTTCCAAGAAGAGGAATCTTGTTTTCACTGTATTCACAAGCAGATGCGTGGTAGAAAACCCGCTTGCCACGTAAACGATCCGGTTTTCATCATCACTCAAACTCGGGGTTTTCACTGTTTGTTTCCATCGTTCTCTACTTCTTGGTCATGCATAAGACAATTTCTCGCTCACAACCAATGCCACTGACTGTCCCGCTAATGCCGGAGCTTCTGAAATACGAGCTCTTTAACGCTTACGCGTTAAAATGTGCCAACTATTCATTGTTCAAGTAACTTCTCAATTAGGCATATGCAACTTCACGCGTATGCAGGGAGCTCAAGTGCACACTTTGTACAATACGTTACGCATAATTTTTGAAATACCAGTTCAATCAAATAATGAAAACGACGCTCAATTTGATATAAAATTGCGTACAGTCACTGATGTCTAATTTTATGTCATGCTCAAAGAGCAAAATGAACATATCAGTAGAAAGCATGTAAACAATTCAGGCAGGCACATAAGCACAAAAAACATTCTTGTGTTGCAACTCAACGCTACCAGGTTCGTCTCTAATGACTTTGCACGTATGTCACCCTCGCCTGTTTTGCTTTTCGCGTGCCGAAGCGCAAGGATTCGATTATGAAGCAGGTCATGGTGGAAGGCCCGATATCGATTTCAGCCAGCCTGCTCTTTCTTTTAACCAACAGTGTAGTGTTTTGAGTTCCTTCGCATTGAAGTGTGAAAACCACGGTCGAGACCGGTTTCAGGGCAGTCGTGTTCAACAACGCAACGCCATCACTACCTACGTAGGTGCTACTGCTCGTATAACTGCGTAAGCAAAATAAATACAGGTGCCTAGCACGATTAACATTGAACGTCATAATAACTTATGGGCTTTCAACTTCACAAAAGCACGTTATTATGATGAAAGATGCTGTAATGAAGGGCTCGTTAAATATGCCAGCCTGGGGCTCTTCAATGTGGGCCAAAAATTCAGTGAACGGGCCTCAAACATCTTCGTTTGCAAGAAACATTCGGCCGCAGTGATTATAGCATTTGATCCCGCAGTGGTCTGGCACCACAGCAGAGCAGCAAATCAACTTGAGCCCCGTGGCGGATCAGAAATAGACCGGAAGGAAGCAGGAGCATTTGTTTCGCCACGTACTTGTTCATTTTCGCGCTTTGGAGGCAATGAGTTACGCTAACTCTGTCTTCAATTCGTGATGATCGAGTTATCGTCCAGACTTTAGACCGGCCCTCTCTTGTACGCAGCCCCGCGCATCGCTTGTAATCGTCTGGAAAGTTCTTTCTTTTTTTGTTGTTGGATGCTACGCGAGAAGCACTCACCTGGGTCGCCACGCGAGTGAGCCTCAGGAGTGTGTTCAGATGGCCAGACGGGGGTTGGATGTTGCCGTCCTTGAGTGCCAGGTGAGCAAAGTACCTGAAACTCGCATTGCCACGGATGCGTCGGCGCGGCTGAAAGGTGCACTTTTGTGGCTCTTCGTGCTTGTGGTTGTAACGGACGCAGCCTTCGAAGATGTCCGGCATCTGCACGCAGAAGATTGCCGCGCAGAGCAGCAGAACGACAGTGATTCTGAACATGTTCTCTGACTGGCAGAGACGTTTTCGATGCAAACAGAAAAATGAAGACACGGCGATGCGCCGCGATACACGATCCCTGAAGGGAAAGTGGTGACAATTGGCTGTGGCTTTTTAAGCCATGCGAACCGAAGCCACAACTGTGCCGATAACAAGATATTCGATAATTTCGAGTGACAGTGCAGTTATAGGTAAAATCACTTTTTATTTCGCTTACGCAAGCTCACACGCCAAAGCCCTTGCTTCACATGCCAATGAGAACAACACAATTCTTCAGCTTACTGGAGCTTAATAAGTAACCTACGCGAAGTTAGGAAAACAGATGCGAACACTTTCTCGATAGCTTACGACACTAACTTCTATTCCTTTTTTTTGCACCACCTTATTTAAACAGCGTCATCAATGAAAAATAACCGCACTTATGAAAAGGTGACCAGCCGCAACAGGTCACATGCAACAGGTCGATAGAAGTCCCAAGGAACTTCTATCAGGAACGATAGTGTTACAAGCATGCTGACACACTTTATCGCAAGAATTTACTTAAGTGTTCCGTAAACCGTGGTAGTATTGGAGATAGGTTCGATTACACTAAATAATAAATTGACATGCGCATGAAAACGTGAAGGTGCTGTTTTGTCTGAACATCTCTAGGCTATTCAGGAAGATGATTCATGATCTTCATAAAAAGGCGGCCTACAATGCACTGATAAACTGCGCGAAAAATGAGCAGCAGTGTACGCAGTGTTAAGTGAACTTAAAACCTATTGACCCAGAATCGACTTGCAAAACAGTGGCGGTATTATGCTGTACAATCTACTTCGTACTGTTATGCAATAAAGGTAGAAGCCGAGGCCATGGCTGAGCGGCAATGGCGTTATAGGCCACTGAGTGAAAGGTCCCAAGTGAGTTTCTGGCCACAGCAACTAGGTTAGTTTTCTGCGAGAAGAAACAAAAAAAAAACTCGTTTGCTTTTGCACGAGTGCACTTTGGCGAACGCAACGAGGCCTCAACCACGGCGTATCGTTGACTCCCAAATCAGGTCGGTTAAAAACCACACCGATCTTTCAGAGTAAGTCCTCGCCATTCCACACTACTCTGATAAATCGAACCATATTTATTGGTTCACTTTATGGCTCACTGATTGATAATAAGAACGGTGCGAATGACACATAGCAAACGCATGCATGGTTCTGATAAGTAAGCGCTAAAGAAAGAAAGAAGAAATCGCAAAGAACACAAGAAAGGAGATGATGAAATGCCCGACTAACTACCAAAAAAAACGTTTTTGCGAGGCATTGCTATGTACAATAAATGTAAGTATGTGTTTCTATAAGAGGCTGGTCAAAAAACACATGCTCTTTGTCAGTACTATCACTATGGCCATTTTTCAGGTCCTCGCACTTTGAGTGTTAATCCACTCGAGCGAAAAATCATATGCATTCCGAGAGCCAAAGACAGCGAGTTCACTAACGTTGCTCTTTTGAGGTTATTAAAAAGTTATTAGAATGAGAGGTGACGGGCGCACTTGAAAAGAGGCTCCACTTCCCGTTACAAAATTAGTGATTTTCAGTTTTTGTGAGTTCTGATTTGCCGTGTTTACAACATCTCAACATTGGCAGAGACATGGAAACTCTTGATAGAGATCATAAGATCATATCGTAAAAGAGTCGCAATAGAGAAGAGCTTAAACACGTATGTTTATAGAAAGACATGCACGGGGTAAGTCAAGGCTGCTTGGAAGGGTTCACACATACTTTTTTTCTTAGAGTAAGCAATGCTGGCACGAGAAAATTTGAGTTGTCCGTCTCGCTGGAACAGTGGATACGGTGTTCCGCTGCTGACCCAAAGGTAGCAGGTTAGATTGCGGCCATGGCGGGCACGTTTCGATGGAGCTAAAACGGTTGATTGATTAATATGTGGGGTTTAACGTCCAAAAACCACGATATGATTATGAGAGACGCCGTAGAGGAGGGCTCCGTGAAGTTCGACCACCTGGGCTTCCTTAACGTGCACCCAAATCTGAGCGAACGGGCCTACACACGGGCCTACACACGGGCTACAACACGGGCCTACAACAGAGGCTAGCGTAATGTGCAATGCCATTGCAATTTAAAGAGGCCCAGGTGGTAGAAATTTCTAGAATTCTCCACTACTGCGTCTCTCATAATCATATCAGAGTTTTCAGAAGTTGAACCCCAATACAATAATAATAATAATAATAATAATAATAATAATAATAATAATAATAATAATAATAATAATAATAATAATAATAATAATAATAATAATAATAATAATAATAATAATAAAAATAATAATACTAACAATAATAATAATAATAATAATAATAATAATAATAATAATAATAATAATAATAATAATAATAATAATAATAATAATAATATTATTATTATTATTATTATTAGAGTTGAGTTACGCAAAATGAAATGGGAGCGCAAGCTGCCTGAACAGATCCGATTGTCGTGTAGGATTCTTTACTCTTTGCCTGTGCAGAGGTCGAGATCCACATTTTCTCGGCTACTTCATATGAATGAGTTCAGCAGCGGAAAAAATAAAAAAGAATATTACTGATTGGTTTCCATAAATGAACAATTAGCAAAAAGCACAATAGCAACCTGAAACTAGTTGAAGTACTATGCCAATATACAGTTTGTTTGCAGCTGTTCAACCTGTCATACAATGTTCACACGGACACCTTTTTTTATTTCTGCTTTCAGTATGTGTACGAAAACACCATTTCATATATGTCAGCCCCTCACTGTACATCACAAGCGCTTTTCCAGCCCGGTCTGTAATAAGAAATCTGTCAGGAAGACGTCCACCTTTTTCTAAGGATGCATCTGAGGATGTAGTCGGAGTAATTTCTTCAATGTTAGCTGTCATCTGTCTAAACTTGCTAGTTTGTTCCTTAATTTTTCTCTTTCATTTGCGTACTTTAGGCACTTCAAAGGAATAAGGCATATATTTTCTTCTGCATGACCACAATGGCAATCCGGGGAGTTTGATCGATGCATTGGACAGTTATAGTATACCGGGCATAAAGTGATACCGGGCGTACCGTGATACCGGAATCGAAGTGCGCATGCGCAGATACGTACGTGACGCGTACAGCTTACCGTACGCGCGGTATTTCTCCTACGCGCGGTATTTCTCCGCCATGTTTACGTGCACTACGTGCACCTACGCACGTAGTGCACTACGTGCACTACGTGCGTAGGTGCACGTAGTGCACGTAAACATGGCGGCGCTCTCGGACGCCCGCTTCGAAGTGATTTTGGCGTAGCTGGTGAAAGATTCACCTTGTTTGTAACAAACTACTGTTTGAAGTGGCTTCGCTTGCCTTCAGTTAGCTTAGACCACCAAATATTGCGGATAAGTTGGCGTAGTTTTTGAGATAACTTCCCATTTCGAACGTGTCTAGGCCTATCTGAAAGATCAATGTAAACAAATCTCCTAGCTAAAATTTTCCGTTTTTGGGGCGCGGTTCATATTTATTTATACCTATTTCTTAAATAGCAAGAATATTAGTGCATGCGTGAATAGAAGTGGACACTTTTTTAATTTTCTCGTCCTTTTCATTTTTCGAGTGCATTCTTTTTTTCGCTAGGTGACGCCGGCCCCGGCGTACGTTAGAAAAGCAGCTGCTTATCGCTGCACTGGTAGTGGAGGCAGTTGAAGCAAACACGAAGGAAAAAACGTGCTGCGAACATGAGTGTCGCAAAACAGGGAAACCCGCGCGCGAAATTCACTGTGTATCCCGGCGGCTGCATTTCCGATGGAGGTGGAAATGTTGTAGGTCCGTGTGCTAAGATTTGGGTGCACGTTAAAGAACCCCAGGTGGTCGAAATTTC